CCAGTCTCAAATAACTGTTAATCACAAAATCACTTTAAACAAGAGACTCCCAAGCCCAAACCAACTCATCAGAAGACCTATATTACAGATCCCAACTGCTTTAAATAACATGCTCCCAGCCGCCAACAAATTGTTAATCAAAAGACCTACTTTCCACATCACATCTACTTTAAAGAAGAGAATCCCAGCCCGCAACCGTTAATCGTAAAGAGCTACCTACTGGGTCCTAATTGCTTTAAATGAGACTCCCGGCCTCCAAGCAACTGTTAATCAAGACATACCTTCCATCAGTTTGTTATATTTGAGGAATACATTGTTCCAATTGCCATAGCACCTGCCTTTCAGTCAGTTGGTTATACTGAGAAAACTGGTGGGAGATCTGACAGGTACAGGAGGAGATTGCCCCCTCCTTCTCCAGCAGAGCATCTGGGCAATTAGTCTTTTGATTTCCTGACGGCTGGTGCCAACAATGTTAACTGCAGAACTAATCAAGCAAGCTAAAGATGTTAACTTCAATTTCTTCTCCTTTCATTATGATGCTGCCAAATGGCCCAGTGGTGACAATCTTTGTCTTCTTGACATTGAGCTTCAATCCATATTGAAGACTACAGACCTTGACTGTCTGCAGCAAGCACTTCAGGACCACCTCAGTTTCAGCAAGCAAGGTTGTGTCATCTGCATACGTAGGTTGTGGGGGAGTCTTCCTGTAATCCTAATGTCACATTCTTCCTCATAAAGGCCAGCCTCCAAATGATCTGTTCTGTATATAGATTGAAAAGGTATGGAGACAGGACACATCCCTAATACACTCCCTTCCTCATTTTGAACTATGCAGTGTTCCCCTGCTCTGAGGACTGCTTCCTGGTCTAAATATAGGTTTCACATAAGCACAATCAAGTGAAGAAGGAATAGTAGCTGGAAAGTATGGACCTGATGACAGAAATGTGGCTGGAAATAGAATGATCAAATTTTATATTTTCAATGATTTATTCATTGCAAATACCATTTTTAAAAAACACAAATGGCTACTTTACACCTGGACCTTATCAGACGGATTGCATAAAATCAGACTGACTACTAGTGTGGAATGAATCATTGGAGTAGTGGGAAGATTGTGGGTCAAATCATCAATTACTCATGTCCAAATTTAAACTGAAGCCAAAGAAAATTAAAACAAGTGCATAAGAATCAAAACATGATCTTAAATCTATTCCACCTGAACTTAAAAATCATTTTAAGAATAGGTTTGAGGCATCTGTTCTGCATATAGATTGAAAAGGTATGGAGACAGGACACATCCCTTGCACACTCCTTTCTTGAACCATTCTGTTTTTCTCTGCTTTGTTCTGAGGACTTCTTTCTGGTCCAAGGATAGTTTTTGCATGAGCACAATCAAGTGTTCTGGGATTTCCATTCTCCTCAGGTTAACCACAATATGTTGTGATCAACACAGTCAAATGCCTTTGCACTCAATGAAACACAGATAGATATCCCTCTGGTACTCTTTGCTTTCGGCCAAGTTCCAACATTGACAATAAGGTCTCTAGTGTCACAGCCTCTTTTAAACCTGGCTTGTATTCCTGGTATTTTTCTGTCAATGTACTGACTGGTGCAGTCGTTTCTGGATAATCTTCAGCAGGATTTCAATTGCATATGAGTGTTATTATACGATAACTTCCACACTAGCAGGTCACCTTTTTTAGAATGGGAATAAATATGGATCTCTTCTAGTCACTTGGCTGTCCTCCAGATTTCTTGGCCCAACCTGATGAGCACGTCCAGAATAACATCTGTTTGTTGAAATATGTCAATTGTTATTCCATCAATTCCTGGGGCTTTATTTTTTGCCAAGTCCTTCAGAGAAGTCTGAACTTCCTCCTTCATTGCCTCTTGATCATGTTTTTCTTGAAATTCTTCTCTGTAAGCCAATTCTTTTTGGTACAGTGACCATGTATACTCCTTCCATCTTCTAATACCTACTGGATCATTCAGTATTCTATCCATATCATCCTTAAGTATTGCAACTCGAGGTTTATATTTGTTCTTTAGTTCTTTCAGCTTAAAAAACCCCGTGTACGCCCCTTTTGATTTTCAGACTCCAGTTCTTTGCACATTTCATTATAATATTTTGCTTTGTTGTCCCATGCTGCCCTTTGAAATCTTCTATTCAGCTCCTTGACTTCTTGGTCTCTTTCCTTTGCTATGGCTTCTCAGCGACATTCTGAGTTTCTTCTTCCTAAGTATATTTTCTTGTAGTCAGCTATTGTAAATGGTACTGCTTGTCTAATGTCCTTTCCTGTGTTTTCTTTTTTGCTGTTGAGAAAGCCAACTGACGTTTGTGTACTCATCTTGTATCCTGCCACTCTAGTACATGGAGTTACTAACAGGTTTTTTTTGTTCAGACTTTGGGGTTTCTATGTACACTATCATATCATCTGCATATGGCAACAGTTTCAACACCTCTTTGCCAATTTGTATGCCTTTTTCCCTTCTCTTGCTTTACTGACCTAGCTAGAAGTTCCAGTACAATACTGAATAGAATTGGTGATAATTGTCATCCTCACCTGGTGCTTGTTTCCATGGATATTGCCTTTAGTCTCTCTCCACTGGGAAAGATGTTAGCTCTTGATAGAGATGCAAATCAAAACCACAATTAGATACCATTTCATCCCAATAACAGTGGCAAAGCTTAATAGAACAGCAAGCAATAAATAATGGAGAGGATGTGCAGAGACTAGAACTCTACTACACTGTTGATATGACTTTAAAATGTACAATTAAGCTGGAAGGCAGTTTGCTGTTTTCTAAAAAAGTTGAACATAAAAATTCCTTATGACCCAGGTATTCCAATGTTAGGAATATACCCTGAGGAAAATAGAATTGAGACACAAAGGAAGATTTTTACATCGATGTTCATAGCAGTGGTATTCATAATAAGTTTATGGAAAAAAGCCCAAATGTCCATGAACAAACAAATGGATAGAGAAATTAAGGTACATTCACACAATGGAACACTATGCAGCACTCAAAAGTAATATCGAGAAACACAATATAACATAGGAGAGTCTAGAGAGTATCATGTTGAGTGAACTAACCTACTCTCGTAAGGACAAATAATGCATAAGACCATTATTGTAAAGATAGAAGAATTATTATTAGCAAGATGTCTACAAAAGTCCAAAGGATGAAGAGGAGGGAGAAGGAGGGCTGGGTGAGGGAGGGAATCTTGAGGTCACTTAGTTTATTGGGGAGGGGGTGTAAGAATTTGGAGAGATCCAGTGTGGACCTGAAAAAGTAGGGCAAAGGTGGGCATGGATCAGTGGTGATTAATTTTATAAAACACAGTGTATGAAACACAATGGTTGAATGGAGGAGTGTGTGAAACATAACATATACAAACGAAATACCATGTAAATAAATGAAACACAATGTATATAATTTTGTATGCAAACCAATATAAAATAACAGTAATTTTTAAAAATATCCAATGAAAATAAATTATATAAGTAAATATAATCATAGCATACAATACAGTCTACCTGTGAACTACCAATAGTCTCTTTTTTCTTTATTATTCCTATAATTGCATATATGGGGGGGAAGAACTACTGAGCAGGGACAGCACGAATCAGGCTACAGAAATTCCATAAAATAAATCCCTTGTAGAAATTCCTCTAAAAAGGAGTTTGCACAATTAAGCATAATTCAGTGTTTAGCTTAAACAAAATGGAATTTCTGTTTATTCTTATTAGAACATGAAACAAGATTTACAACATAAATCTTGCATGTAAATCTGTATCATCACTATTTGGATTAATTAAAGGAAAG